TGAGACAGGCAGGGCCTGGTGAACCCGGCATCAACATGGGACAGCATCAGAACCAAGCACACAGCCCTGAGGCCTTGGTCGCAGCTGCCACTGATGGAACTTTTCACACTCCCGGTTGCTCTGTTACTCAACACTTGTGCACGTCCACTTGCAACATCCCCACCACAACCCATTCATTTCAATGGAGCGCTCCTTCACATCATGTTGCGCGTGATGGGTTGCAGTGCTGCGCAATCTTCTTTAGCAGGCAGTGTAAAAATTCAGCAGATTTCAACTTTATGCAAATGAGTGCGATTGCTGCACTGAGTTTAACCAATCAGGCAAGGGTACACTGGTCTTGATAACAAATAGCAAACATACCTTTCTCTGAAAGCAAAGAGAAGCAACAATGGCTCTCTTTCTCTTTTTTGAATCCATGACAGGTTTATATAATGATGAAAATATCTGGTTTTATACAGACAACAGTGAAGATTGAAGATTTGGAGGGAGGAAGTCCATTTGGATGTAATTTACATGGTTTGAGAGGAAAAACTTAAACCCTATGCAGCTCTAAGGTTACTTGCTAAGGTGATACTAAGCAAGCTAGCTTTCTTGGAAGCATTCTGAAAAATATAAAAGCGTAAAAAGTAAGTCTGTACTTTAGTCTCAATGTAAGCTGCTGTGCAACAGCAAACAGCATATCAGATTCTTCACTGCCCCACATATGTTCAGTATGGTTCTGTCCTTTCCATAACAACACAGAAATGCTGGCCAGAGAGATCTGCCGCGGCGAGAAAAAGTCCAAGTGGAAGCGTAGCAAAACCCAGTTAAAATGACCCTATTCTCTCACACCCCCAAAACAGCTCGCCCTCCTATCAAAATGCATATTTGGAGATTATAAATCTATAACCCTCTAACATGCTATCAAACACTAATATCTGCAGTACCAACTATAACATATACATCCTATATTTACCATTATAATGATAAACACATCGTTAAGGGCTGCAATGATATATCAAATTACCTTATACACGCTGTGCCAGAGACGTCATTACATTGCCGGCACAAACTGTCAGAAGACTAATAAGTGCTTTTCTTCTGGGATTGAACCCTGTTCTCCCATATGGAGGACGAGTCTGTAAAAATGTCAAACTTTACGATTATCCTCATACCTAGTTTTGTGTCTTTTGAGAGTGATGCTGTAATGACTATTATCAAGACATTAGTATATTTAATAACTAAACCAAAATGAATAAAAAAATAAACAAAAATATTTATTTAGTCTGGTGTGCCTATACAAAAAATAAATATAGATACTATAGGGCCAACAGTATCTGGACACCTGCCCATCATACCTACGTAAGCTTGTTGAGCATCCCATTTCAAAATCATGAGCATTAGTATGGAGTTGGCCCTCCTTTTGCAGCTACAACAACCTTTACTGTTCAGATAAAGGCTTTTCACAAGATGTTGTGGTGTGTCTGTGGGAATTTGTGCCCATTCAGTCAAAAGAGCATTTGTGAGGTCAGTCACTGATGTTAGACAAGAGGGCCTGACTCACAATCAACGTTCTAATTCATACCAAAGGTGTTTAGTGAGGTTGACATGAGGTCTCTATGCAGGTCACTAGAGTTTCTCCACACCAAGCTCATCAAACCATGTCTTTAAGGAATTTTACTTCGCTTTGTGCACTGGGGCATACTCATACTGGAACAGGAAAGGGCCTTCCCCAAACTGTTGCCAGAAAGTTGGAAGAATATAATTGTTCTAAAACCTCCTGGTATGCTATAGCATTCATTTTTACACTTCACTGGAACTAAAAGGCCCAAACCCTGAAAAAGAGCTCCAGACTATTATCCCTCCACCACCAAACTTTATTGTTGGCACTATGCATTCTGGTAGGTATTACCCAGATTTTCAACACCCGCCTTACACAGATTTGTCCTTCAGACTGCCTGATAGTGTGAGTCATCACTCCAGAAAACACATTTCTCCTGCTTCAGAGTCCAGTGGCAGTGTGCTTTACACCACTCCAGCTAAAACCTGACATTGCGCAGCGTCATCTTAGGCTTATGTGCTGCTGCCTGTCCATGGAAACACATTTCATGAAGCTCCTGACGCACAATTCTTGTACTGTTGTTGCTTCCAGTGGCAGTTTGGATCTCTGTAGTGAGTGAAGCAACAAAGTATAAGTGGTTTTATGCACTACACATTGGTCCTGCTCTGTGAGTTTGTGTGCTCTACTGTTTCATGGCTAAGGAACTGTTGCTCCTAGATGTTTCCATTTTACAATAACAGCACTTACAGTTGACCAGAGCTGGTCTAGCAGGGCAGAAATTTCATGAACTTGTGGCAAAGAGGATATCCTATGACACTGCCACGTTTAAAGTCACTGAGCTCTTCAGTACAACGCATACTACTGCCAATGTAGGTTGAAATGCGCCATTCTAGAAAAACTTACAGTCACAGTTGCTCACAGTGGTGGTGATAGGAACCAAACATCTGAAGTGTTAAACGGCTCTAAAAGCTACCTCACACAAAGCTAGTACATGAAATGGTTACAGTTTTTTTTTAAAAAAAGGCAGAGAGGTACATGGAGGGTGTTGCTAGGCAAACTGTTCCTTTGAATTAGGAGGAAAGATTGAAAAAAGTTCAAGGTGTTATGGCCTACAGGATTTCAGGCTACGTACCTGCATTAACTCCATTTACTGTTTTACAGCAGGAAGGAAGAAAATACTCGCAGTAATGATGCTGAAAAAGCACATAAAATAATTTTTTTGCAGTTAAATTGTTAATTTTGATTGTCTATGCTTAGATAATAGCCTCATTACATCAATGATTTAAATTCTGCAGGCTACAGGCCGAGTACAGAGCTGTGCTGTTTCTTTTTTACTAGCTGCAGCTGGCAGCAGGCTATAATCCACTGAAGTTGCCAGTGATTCTCACCTCCAGACCATGCTGTTCCCTGTTTCTTCAACCATGATCTTACCCATCTGCAGCATCTTCCTTTTTTGCCAGTTTGTTGGACACAGACACTGCCCCAACAATAAACTGCTGCTCATTCTGAAACTTCTGTAGCAAAGTTAACTTTGTCTCCATCAGTTGTGCATACTTAAGATGAGGTGTTGCTGAGAAATTGGTGACCTTTCCATTAACATAATTGGCTTCTGTTCTTAGTAATAGTTTCCACTCTCCATGGCAACAAACCATTTATCATTCCTTTTATCATTTCCATGGTAATAACAGCTTTGCTCCGGCATTCCATGGCAACAGATGTATTACTTTTCCATTACTAACAGTTCTTTTCTATGTCTCCATAGTAACAAGACTCTTTCCCACTGTCAAAAACATACACCTCTTAGTGGGTCGGAGGCGAGCCCTATGGTTAACTGGAGCAGGTCCGACGCGCTCCACATGCACCAAACCACACTGGCAAGAGCAGCAGGTCACGAAGAAACTGAGCAATCCAGACTTTAATTATAAAGCTAAGTAGTCAAACAATGCTACTTAACATAAAAAGTACAAAGTCTTGCTAGTGATGGGTAAAAGCACTTCACTGTTTTATTAATAGCCTACTGTTATTACTTTTTAAATTTGTCCCTATAGCAGAGGGTTTTCCGACACTGGTCCTTGAGGACAACTGCTTTAACCAATTTAGAGTGTTCCCATCCCTTTTAAGTAACCTTGTTCATTTACATTGCTACGCTGCCATTTCTGCATGTGCATACTAAAAAAAATCTCCAATTAATCCATACAGTACTGAATTAACAACTTCATACGTGTCCAGATGAATACTGTAAGAGTTAATTAAACACCTGGGATTTTCTGGGCATCTAGAACAGCCGCCTCCGAGTCTTGCGTGCCTGTTTCTGTGCAGGTGAGCAGTAAGATTCGGCTCTGTTCAGCTCCCTTGGAGCAGAGCCGAGATTCGCAGTCCCACTCCGTAGGCACATGTGCCTTACCTACTCCGACACACCTGATTCGCTTCACACGCTGACTCAGCTGCGTCGGAGCCGGAGGTGTGCAGCCTGTGGGGTCTCCAGGGCTGGAAGCAAGAACCATTAGCGAGGAGGTTCCACGGATACAGCACCTGGCTTATAAATCACAGCAGGGAAGAGAGGGAAAGTCCTTCTTTTCTATTATAGCCACTCCCCAAGCTACAGTTGATGTTTTGCCATGTCGCTTATACTGTGCACGTCAAGAACATCTGTGGCCTTAAAATTTAGAGGTGGGCGATATGATTATATTTTAGCGTTATCGTGATAAATTATGTGTGCTTTTCTGAGCACATTGTGGATAAGTACTTAAAAAATACATGCACGTTTCATTACAAACAAAGTGTAATGTGATGTTTCACTGGATTTAGAGCAGAGTAGTATGTGAAATATTGGACAAAAATAATTGTTCTCTTAGTTGTTCATGGTATTTGAAACTCTCTAACACTGTGTTAAATATCAATTTGAAATATCAGTCAAATCTAAGCATCTCGGTGATACTGACACTTTTTTTAAAACCATGAGTGCTATCTAGAACCATTCCGTGCTTAAACTGTTCTTTGCGTAGTTAAAAGGTTCTTTAGATTGATGGAGAATATGTTGAATATGGTTCTATTTAAAAAAGGATTCTTCTATCTTTACAGGCAAGACATTGTAACAACCCTTTTGGAACCCTTTTTGGTGCTATACAGAACCATTTTTAATAAACTTTTATGTAGAACCATATACAACACATTCTCCATCACTCTAAAGAACCATTTCACCATGCAAAGAACCAACAAATCATGAATGATTCAATATAGAACTTCTAAACAGAACCATTCCTTTCACTACAGAACCCTTGAAGAACCATCTTTTCAAGAGTGTATCGTGAAAATGTCTTCAAGTGTCGTGGTATTTTACGTTTTGCCACACTGCCCACCCCTGTAAACACCTGAGCAGCCCAAAACAGCCCGAACTCTCTCTGAAGGGTGAACCGCGAACCAGCACAAGTAGCTCAGAAAATCTCAGAAGCCCCCTCACCTGGTTTGACCGTCTTGATGCGAATTGGCTCCCTGAAGTGCCGGATGACCGCATGAGTGTCTCGGTTGGTGAGTCCACTCACGGGCGTGCCGTTCACCTCCAGCAAAACGTCGCCGTAGTACGGAAGCTTCCCGGCGTGGCACACGAGGACATCCAGGTTCATCTGGCCGAGGAAGGGGAACTCTCCGAGCTCGGCGCCCCCCAGGATCTCCACCACCGAGCCGAACTCCCCCACGCCTCCCCACGACACCGCGCACTCCTGCACTTTGGTGGACCAGTGCTTCTTCCTCTTCAGCGTTTTGGACATGGCTCGGGTTAGTGTTCACTTTCAGAAGACGGTCTTTCGGAATATAAATGGAGTCCGGGTGCTGGTTAGCCTAGCGGCTGTGGACAGGAGACGTTAGTTTGGAGAACACGAACGCCATCGAGCAGCAGCAGCAGCAGCAGCCGTTGAGCCTCATCTCCTCCTCCTCCTCCTCCTCCTCCTCGTCTCCTCACGCGGAGCCAGACAGGCTACATTCAAGATAAGTCAGAAAAACAGTGAACGACGAACGAAAGCAGAAAATACTGAGTCAAACAAGCTTCTATATCCGTTTTTAGTCGAACAAAAACACTCAATAAATCACAGGAATGCGCTACAGCTAAATATGGCTACTGTTTACTTACATTTTCCAAGTTCACAACAGTAGCAGCCAACAACAACAACAGCAGCCACAGTGCTGTGGAGCGCGGGAGCAAAAAGGTTTCCTCAGCCGGTTCACTCAGTCTCAGAAGAGCCGGCGGTGGCTGAAACAGCGCGTATATGAAGGAGAGTCACTCAGTCAGTCAGTCAGTCACCTCGACTCGCACACAGCCTCGTTACCGCTAAAGCGCGAGGACGTGAAGTAAATCTAAAGAGGAATCCCGCCAGTCGCAGCTGTGCTGGTGTCCGTGTTTTCCTCCGTGCGCATCGGCGAGCCAGGCGCGAGCGCACGCGCTCCACTCCGGGCGCCCGCCGTCCGTCTGTCAGTCCGTCCGTCCGTACGTCGCTCTCCAGCCAAAATCAACCACAGCGGACCGGAGAGTGGACTCCGCTTTATCCTCGAGCTCAGCAGCGCTCACGCGTTCTCTCAGCGTCCGAGCCGCCGCCGCCGCGTTTCTCTGACAGCTGACAGGAGACGGATCCACGTCCACGCACGTTTTCGCAGGCGCCGCTGTCTCGCTCACCGAGCCGCTCGAGCGTCCGCTGAGGCGAGGCACGCGCGCGGGAAGCAACCAATGAGAGCGAGGACGCTTGAGCAATTAACTAATTATGTAAAACGGCGTCACTTCTCCGGGAAATTCGGCCTGCTCCTACTTTTATAACTCAGAGTGAAGCATCACAGCAGTTTGTTCAAGTATTTAGGAAAATAGTTGGATAAAGTGCGTTTAAAGCTTAAAGCCTGGACGTGCTGTTTTAACATGTAAACACCTAACCACCCCTGCGTTTATTTTTATAAATAATTCACCTGGTTCATTATAGTCACTCCTCAAATTTTATATTATTATTTTTTATTATATTTTTTTATTATATTATTATTATTTTTTTTTTTCTTCCAAAAATAGTGGTATAAACAAGAGGATAAGTCGAACCCCAAAACAAATATAAAGGAAAAAAAGCAGTCCTAGTTAAAGCATTAGCAATTTCTGACAAAAATAGCGGTTGTCAGGAGAATATATAGCACAGCACAGTCTAATGTTCTTCACAGTAGCTGCAAAGTCTAAATCTGGCTCAGTAATAAACGGAATTATTGGGAAATTGCTATTTCTGCCGAGAAAAAAAACAAGAATTATTCTGTGAATGTGGAGCATCATGTGTCCATTCGAGCCAAAATAACTCTCTCAACAGCGCCATCTTCTGGCCTCGTGCTGTGAAGACCGCAAGCGCTAAACAGTCTACTGGATCCTGTAATTCGCAGTGATTTAATGAGGCACTCCACTGGCACTCAAACCTCTGCTGATTTTCATACGGTACTTTGTAAATTAGTTTAATCTCCTGCATAATTAAAGACATGTAAGGACAAGCTGAATTTAAAGCTTTCACGACGCTCCCCCTCTCAGAGGCAGACGCTTAACCACGGCTGTGGTTTTATTCAGCAGCCAATGGACACGTTTTTCCCCTGAGTCATGAAGATGCCAGAATCTGTTGCATTTATTAGAACAAGAAGGGGTGTTGAAGTGGCGCATTAACTGTAGAAAAGCAAGACCAAGCACAGATCCAATTTCCCCCTTTTTCTCTTTTGTTTGGAGCCGTCATCACACATTTATGACCTTAAATAAACCTGAAACTGGCAGTCTTATTCAAACACACAGCACACTCACGGATACGTTGTGTAATTGGTAATCTGAAGTAACAGTAAGGTGGGCTTTTTTCCTTTGTCCCAAGAACTGTTTTAAGACATTTTTGACAGACTGATTTGTAGAAGAATATCAGCCATATAAAGACTGTTTATCAGATTCAGGATCAAAACTATATAATGTATACCCTCCTCCCACATACACTACCTTCCATTTATTTAGGCATTATCTAGTTACGTCAAAGTGTCCCTTTATGTTTTATAGCAGTTAAGAGCTCAGAACAGTGTTAGTGCGTGTAAATTCACCATTCGGCTATATGTGAAGGGTGCAGCACATTCCTGATGAGGGTAATAAAACCCACAGTGAATTGAGTTTATGCATGCATTATTAATGACGCAGCAGCGCGGGTTAGCAGCAGACTGAGGTAGGCGCTTTGATCCCATCCCCAAAATATCTCACGCAGCACTTCACACACGAGTCGGGAATGAAAACTGTCAGTTGGAGTGTTTAGTGGGATTCAGATGTGTCTAAACTCTTTTAAACCCGCCAGAACTTTACTTTTCGTTCTACGGTGTTGACCTAATTCAATCATGCTGCAAGAAACTGCCACATCGCGAGCTGAAAAAGGCAGATTTCTGTATTGTGCAAAACAGGGAGAAGAAAATGTTATATTAGCAGTTTTTTTGCATCGTGCATCCCTGGCAGATCAAGCAGTGGAAACTTCTTCACTTTCACCCAGCAAACTGCTGCTTTAGTTCTAGTACATCAGAATTTGCATTTTATTGTTTAAATGTCAGCTGAATATGCAACATTATGAAACAAAAAAGGTTCTTTATACATGCTTTACAGAATGTACAGGTACAATATTCAAAATTAAAAAGAAAAAAGTACACATAAAAACAAGCAGCACTGAAATAGTGTGAAAGCATTAACGCTGACCTTTGGTTTTAATTCAAGAGAGTAGTGTGAATGAGACTTTTGGTGCAAACCAAATTGCATCTGAATATCTGCCGCTTTTACAACAAACTCATGCCGTTCAACACAAAATCTCACAAACATAGACCACCTCAATTATAAGAGCAGTTCATCTTACATTGTTCAGTATCATTGCTGTTATTCAGAACACGACTAACATCTGTAACGTCACGTTTAGGACTGACTTTGAATCTTCCGACAGCAAAAGTGTGCAAGTGATTGCAGTGATATGTGCTACAGCTATTACTGATGATCTTAAATAGCTTTTAGGATCTAGAAAACCTCACCATAAGCTACTGAAACCCCACACATGCTGCTATAGTCGATAGGAACTGACTGTAAGTCACTTACATTAGCAACAGGGGCCAGTCTACTACGGGATCTGTAAGGCGGACCGCGGGACAGAACCATGTGCAAATCATAAAACAGCTAGTAATCAATACCACATTGAGTAAGTGATTTAACAGAAACCGATACAAAAGCATCAACTTATTTTCATCAAAATAAATGAATGTAAAAAATGAGAACACTTTAGGTGCACAATTAAAACCATTTCAAACAGAATGTGACAACATGGCACCAGGATGAAATAATCACCAAATAATGACATATACTAGGCAACAGCATATTCACGTCACATGATAAATATGGAAAGTACCCACATAACTGATACATACTGTATCTAACTGTAGTGACTCAATGTTTTAGTGCATTTCACAATACACACATTTCACAATAATATGTTAAAGAGTACCTCAGTTGCGCCCATGTCTTGGTTAGTTCCCATTTCTCTCACTCTCACAAGCTCACGCACACTCAAAACACAAATATTCTTTGGAACGCATCATCCTACTATATGAAGTGCAGCATTATTAGGATTGTACCGATTGGGTGAAACCAGACCAATGCAAACAGAGAGAGATAGTGACTGACACAACGTACTGCGATGAAAATCAATCTATGCTTGTAGATTCAAAAAGTGCTAAAAATCACAAAGTCTACAACTGTGTTGTGGAATCCTTTTGGAATGCAGTATTTCAGCAAGGTAGAAACCGATTTAGACCAACATGGGTCCAAGTGAGATTACAGTAAATGAAAGGATGTATTACTTTTTGGTAACAGCAAAACTCAGCATTGAGTTCTTTGGCCCCTCCACTCCCCGCTGCTGAATCATTAGAAGGCAAACTGCGAGACCTTTATTTTCTGAGGTCAGCATAGTGTGAATGATATTAATACTGACAACGGCACTGATATGGACATGTCCAATGCTCCATCACTAACTCCCTCGGACATCTTAGTGAGGCTAGAGTCAGAATGGACCTTTTAAGAAGAATTACAGTTACACAATTGATAAGGCCTTTGCTTCACAGCCAGGCTGAAGATATTTGGAATCATTCCATCTCAAGGCCAAATGTATATGCAAATGAAGCGCAAATACACACACAGTACAACATCCAAACTGCTGAAACTGAGGCTGGTACACATTTCCAGGTAAAATGCGTGGGAGAAAGGAAAAACGCCTAAAATCATCCTTATGTATGTGTTCACACATCTTTTCAACAGCAGGGAGAGATGGTTTCAGTGGAGAACTCTAGAACAGGCCAGTGAACTACATACAAATCAGTGCACAGGAAAGCACTGAAAAAAAGAACAGACAACTGATGACAACATGGGAATGGATTCAGTATGCAGATGGCCAACCCTGTAAGATTGCTGCAGATCGATTGTCAACGGTGCAACATACCTCTTAACGTCTGATATAGTGCCTTTCATAAAAAGGAAGAAAATAGAGTATATATTTGGCTTTGTGGCCAGCACTAAACATATAAAATGCATCATTTGACAAAGACAGTTAACTTTAGCTTACAATATTGGGTTGGAAAATGGGAAATAGCTTTCCACTCTTACAAGGGAATAATGTACGTGGGCCGCTCTCACCTGCTAGATGCGACCAAGAGGAAACAAAAATGCAGCACAGCTATTTGGCTCCCTGACGGCATTAAATGGTTCTAACAACTGGCAGGTGGGTCAGCCACTCTAAGCCTTGATGCATGGGGAGGATCCTTTCACAGTCTGTGCACAAACAGGTCCTTTTTCAGAGCCAGGGCAGCAGTAGGAGGGCTAGTTCAATGCTTTGGCATACACATGGGAGTTCCAACTCCCCTAAACACGGGAAAGGTGAGAAAAAAAGTGACAAGTTAAAGGCTAGGCGAGTGAGGCTTTTGGAAACGTTACATTCAGAGCCTCAACTTAAACCAGAAGAATAATTTTTTACGGAATCAGAAGGAAGATCATTAGAAGATCCTGGAAAGGTTTTTCACAATAAAACGTACGCGCATATACATACACACAAACACAAACACACACACACACCCCAGAGGGTTCCAATGAAGGGGCAGGACGGAATGTAAACACAGAAGAGAGAGGTGATTTCTTTTTTTGGCAGACTGTGAGTTTTCTCAGAGGAGGTAGTGGGATTTAAGGGCACACGGAGAGAAGCTGGAGCTGGAGACTGAGGGCTGACTGTGGGGTCACAGCGGGCCATGGCGGGGTAAAAAGCGGCTTATGGGTAGGTTCTATGTGGGAGGTGGGCTGTGATCCTGAAGGTTAGTCCTGTACGAGCCTTCTTCCAGGCCCCCACTCCTCTGCTCGTGGCCATCACCTCCAGAGATCCCCAAAGGGGGCTTGTGTACAGTCACTGGCCCCTGGGGCAGGACAGAGGGGTGCGGGTCCACGCCACCCCAAAACGACCTGCCAGGAACATCTGCAGACAGAAACAAAGCAAGACAATAAGAGAGTAGAAACACAACATAACCCACTGTAAAAATGTTTACATGTATATCTCTATGTGTGCAGAAACTCGTATGTGTTTAACGTATAAATGTGCTGGGGACACTCAATTCAACTAAAAATATTTTTACCAAATGAGCATAGTTTTGTTGGTCTGAACTAGTTTAACACATTAAAGACTGATGTGATTTATTTTTAGGAAACTGGTGTGGGATTTTCAAGATAAAGCAGCTTAGCATTTATTATTTATATTTGTTGCAAAGCAACACAAATATGTTCATTTATTAAAGTCCCAGGGAACACAGTGTAAAATATTAGAAAATGTCTGTATGATACTAAAATTAAGTGTTATAGACTGCTATATACTGCTGCTTGTGCATTCAGGGAATGCTGGCATTCACCAAACAAACTGACAAACTGAAGTTTTTGCAAGTTCAGTTACATTTACTAGGTTATCCTTTGTTTGTCATTAGCTTTCTCTCGCTAAGTTTCTCTGAACAGAGAAAAAGAGACTGTGGGAGAACACTGTTTTGTTAAAGCTGTGTGGGCAAGGCAAAGCAGCCCTGTGACTGGTGAAGACAATGTTTACGTATGCACTGCTCAAGATTAGGACTGCCCATTTTATATCAAGAGAGGATAATATTGGCAAAATACATCAGACGTGGAGGATATTGGAAAGTTATTCACAAGACATCTTTTGTAACGTGTACACTAGGGATGCAATGGTACACGGTATATTGTTGAACCGTTTGGTACGCCCCCTACGGTTCAATGCACACACGTGAACTGGGTTATTACGATATGCCTGTCATTTTTCTATAATTTCTAAAACTTGCTTATTGTGCTGCAGACTACATGCACACTGTACATTTAGATCCACAGAATAACCCATCAGTGCTCTACATGCAAATACAAGCTTGAGAAGAGAGGGAAAACTAAAAAGCATACAGTCCGTCAGGCCCAACGTGACAATGGCAAGCGCTAGAGAAGTTAAGCCCACCACACACCCAACATGCTATGTCACACAGGGCAGCATCCAAAAATGTGGATGCCAAGCGTGATAAGTGATGCTTAACACTTTATTTCATTAATGGCACTTCCTGCCAGCATTCTATAGCATCGCTCCGCTACGTGATGCTACGCTATGCGTCTGTTATGCGGGGGCCTTTACAATGTCCCCTCCCACACACATTTCACCAGCAAAGTAATTCCCGAACTCTATGAAACATCTTGGAGAGAAATTGAAAATGAACTGACACAGACACCCTATCTAGCTCTCTTTAATTATTTAAAATAGAGGAGGCAAAGCACCTACAGGTGGTCAAAGCACTTTTAAATGTTATTCTCCTCTTGATTTCATACAGTACAGACAAGAGCCAAGCCTAGTCAGTCATGCTGCCATTTTTGAATGGAAAGTTGTATTTTACTATAGGCAAAATAAAGAGTTTCTTTGTTTAAAGGGTGATGTTTTTATTTTTTTCTTCAATATAAATATACCAAAACCTTTACCATGGCCCAAAAACCGTGATACGTACCGAATTATGGGCCCACTGTACCATGGCATCCCTAATGTAAACTGTGTACCCAACAAGAGCAACAGAAACCTACTTAGAAAGAAAACAAAGATTTAGGTTCCCTGGGGCTTTAAAAACAGTTTTTAAGCTAGGTAGTGTATGTGTAGCCTGTCTCTGTCTACTCTTGTTTATGTGTGACTGCTGACCGCTGTTGTAGTGGTGTGAGACGCAAAGTCTGGGCTCATGGCTGGCAAGGAAGGCGGATGCATCATGCTGACAAATCAGGCTCTCAAGGGCTGCGTCCTCATGCTGGGGATGTTGCTCTCGCTCCACCCGCCTGTCACATGCCGTGTCCTGGGGTAGTTGGGCAGCGAGTGCATCGTCCTCACCCAGGTAGGCATATGGGCAGTACTCCCGTGTGCGAGAGTAGATGTTGGCATTGTCATAACAGTCCGAGCAGATGACTAGTGGACTGGTGCCACCTAAAAAAAAACAAAAATGATATCATATTTTAACATGAGTTCACTTTATGTTTGAAGAGCTTTTGCTGTTCCTTTAATAAGCTAAAAAAGGCCTTGGAATAGAAAACATGACATGGTTAGAATATTTATCCACAGATACTGTCACAAAAAGCAGTTAAAACTGTCAAAACTGAACGATAAAATACCTTTTTATGCACATACACACAAAGCTAAACCAAACGCACAGCGCACATAGACACGCACACACACACACACACACACACACACACACACACACACACACACACACACACCATTGGGCACAGGTGTCAGTCCCTCCCTTGGTTCGCCAGGGTGGAAGCTGCTGCGGCCAGCAAACAGAGACCCAACACGATTACCAAGCATGCCACTGGCCTCGGGGTCCATCTCGCTACCCACCTCACCATAGCACATGCCTATGGGAAAACAACAGAATTTAAAAATAGCCTAAAGTTCACAGTAAACAAAGTCAGAATCTGTTTTAACTGCTAAGCCTAAATGTGTAGTTCACGAAACTGAGTTACATAACTTTTACATAACATTAGGTGTTGTTGCTGAACTCAGCTGGTAGCTAACTTCATACCCTGGGGTAGTTCATTTAATAGTGTATTAATATGTGCATGCAAAACAGCAACCTGTATAAATTCAAAATCATCAAGTCATTAAGTAGCAATTTAGTATTTTGATAATATCACAGAGAACAGGCACTGATTTATAAGGAGGACATAATTAGCTTATAAGGCAAGATTGTTCATGTGAATTAATTCTTTGGTATGTTAGATTTGTTGCAGTAGTTTCTGTGACCACCAGACTGACTCATTTAAAATCACAGGTAATTGACATGATCTTTAACAGCCAGCATATGCTTCAGCCTCAGTTTATATATTATGCTCATGCTTCTACATGCTTTTGCTGATATGTCTGTACAAAGGAAAGCTATTAAGGTTGCGTTCTCCAGAGAGCCTGGTGTCAAGATGATAAAAGGGCACAGGAACCCAAATAAGAGGATGTCTGTGAATAAATGCAGCTATTTGGATCTGCTGACACGCTCTATATTGGATTTATATGGCACCAGAAAATAATAATTAAAACTAGGCTGCTATGACACCAACACAAATTAGGCACTTGTCTAAGAGTAGCTGGTTCTTTATTTCACAACAACTTTATGGAATAGATGTTTCCACAGCTTATATCATTAATGTAAAACAGATAAAAATCAGAAAAACTTCTCCAGAATTGTGACATTCTACACAAAGTGCCCATATCAATGATTTCCACCCACGCTGGTTCTATTTCACTTTTCAAACTTTGGCCTTACCGTCAGTGCCTTTGTGTGCATAGCCGTTGGCCAGGGAGGGCATGAGCTGCTGGTGGCTGCCTGCCTCAGAGTTACTATAGCCCTCCTGAGGCTCAGACAGTGTGCCTTGAGAAGACAGGTAACTCGGGATATCCGCTGGTAGATTCATCTCATCTGAAACACATAAACATACATACACAGATCTAAAAATGCCACTATGCATATTGTTGGTATTCATTTGTAATCTCATTCAAGTTTATGTCTATCAAAATATGGAGAGTTGAAAGACACTGAAAATTGGAGAATTTGCACCAGTCAACAAGATACTGACTTAATTTCAGCAAACATGTCTAGTTTTGGTTGTTGTGAAGGACTGAAGTTACTATCTACATGATAATCTCAGTCGCTGTGCAATAATTTTAGGTACAAAACAGAAGCTCAGATGGAAAAATACAGAGCTTTTCCAACTTGCTTTTATGTTCTGCTTACATAAGCCGTTGCGGTTACTGACTGATCAAAGAATACAGCAGCCGTTTTCTGCAGTTATAGGTTTTTATAACTTTAAAGCCTGGTCTTTTGCCCACGTTTCTCTCTCCCAGTTTCCCTTTAAAACCCAATCAAACACCATTATTACCATCAGAAGTATTAGAGACTGCCTGGGTCTGGGCCTGCTTTGTTGCATGGCTTTATCTCTTTAGCCCATTACAGTTTCCTTATATCAGTTCACTTATATGAGTATTGTTTCTTTGTCAGTTAATCAAGACCTCAATGAGTCTCACGAAAGCATTCATCAGTGCAGTTTCCCCACATACCTGTGTTGGTGATGCTATAGTCCTCGCTCTTGTGTCTCATGTGGTAGATGACTATCACCCATACCAGTGAAGTGCCCACCACACAGCAAACCACCACCATTACCACAATGCCCACTGTGGTCCAGCCATCCTGGTCGTAGGCACTGCTCGCTGGGTCACAGTTGGCAGAGGGTGAGACGCTCAGGTAGATGTGGCCACGTTCAGTGCCAAGCGTGTTGGACATAACACAGGTGTATTTCCCTGCATCTGACGGCCTGGCATCTACAATTATAAGCAGCTGATTGGCTGCCGCAAAGAAGTGGCGCTCCGTCAGCAGCAATGGGCCGTCATCTTTGGTCCAGTTGAGGCGGGGGGCAGGACTTCCTCGGGCTATGCACTGGAGAACTGCAGTCTCACCACGCGCTACAGTACGATCTTCCAAGGGGCGCTGGAACGACGGAGTCTCTGTAGGTGATAAACAGAACAGAGTTAACGATAAACAAAATGCATGTTTTAAAGAGATTGTTAGACAAAAAACATAATTTACACAACTTTTCCTTTTTTAAAACTAAAATGGACAAAGATATGAAAATTCAGGCTTCAAGGTGGCTGCTAATACCATTGTAGCTATGAGACATATTACTGTCCATTTCTATAGAGAATAGTATTTCATACAGTCTCAGAAACACATAAGCAAGTCAATTACTTAACTCTATGAAGTTTGAGGCAAGAGTGTTATGTCTGTATGATGCTAATTGCTCGGGTATTATCTTCCATTTCATATTAGTGACATTAGTTTCATAGCTCCAGTTTAAAACTAAATCAGTACACAAGGAATTCCATTTGGACTCAATAGCTGTATTTAAAAAGTAGCTACACTGTAAGACTGAGAAGATGAGACTTACCCAGCACGGTGAGAGTGGCGTTAGCTGAAAGGCTGCCTGCCTCGTTCTTGGCAGTGCAGCTGTACACGCCCATGTCCTCCGTTTTCACATTGGCGATGAAAAACGTGTCATCTTCAGGCATGACATGCATCCTTCTCTCACGGGCAGCAGGGAAGTTGATACCACCATCCTTCTGCCAAGCGATTTGGGGAGGCGGGTGGCCCTCAGCCGCACACTCCAATCGAGCAACAGTTCCCGTGCGGATCGTCAGGTCCATGGGTGTCTTCAGGAATGAAGGCAACTCTGGGAATAAATGAACAGATTCACTGCTTAGACTAAAGGGCAGTGACAAATTCAAATGTGGAGAAAAAAAAAGGGTAGGAATACACAGTTCCAACAACAACAACAATTCCAGTAAGGTTTTGTGGAATCCATGGATAATAAGGCCGGAGCCTCTGACTCCACCCTCATCACTACATTGCTAACATATTACTACTAATTCTACTAAAAACTAGTCGCATCTCTGAATTTATCATACAGATTTACAGTTAATGTTCTTTCAACTGAAGAATTCTTAAAAGTGTTCAACAAAAATGCATGAGTTGCATAAACATTTTCTGATTAAATTCCTCAGCTGACCAAAGGCTTCTACTCTTAGTGTGTTTCGAGTCAACTGGTATTCTGTTCAGGAAAATCATTTTAACTCTGAAAATCATTGTCCATGGTAATTAACGGTATGCCACAAATGCGGCACATAAAGATGAAGCTGAAAAACGCTGGGGTATTCCTTTAATGAAAATGAGTCATTAAGCCACAGGCTGATAAAAGCTAACAGCCACTAAGGCAGGAGTCAGAGCCTAAATAACTCTGATGTCAGAACATTATAAGGCAAAATATTGGTCTCTGGCTAATTTACATGACAACCTCTTTCTTGCTTGACACAACAAATGGCACATATTGAATGCTGGTTGAGACAGGAACTATACCTTATCTGAACGGACATAAACAACTATGAGACTAATCCTTGTGCGTGAGCTCCATGGTGCATGAGCTCTCTAGTTTATAGTGCTATAAAAATTCTGTTTGAGTCTGAAACTTTTGTTTCTGAGCATTGTCTGGGCCCAAAGCCCCTCTCGCATCTGAATTATGATATGATGACAAAATAATCACATTGCCCAGGCTGGCTTCCCAGAGGGCTACATAATCTTTGTTCCACTGAAATTGGAAATTAAATTAGAGGAGTCCAGAAAACAACTATGGAGGGAAAAGAGATCTAAACAGGGGCGGAAATGAAACTTATTTCATAACCAACAAGAGAAAAAATGATTGTCCGTCAGAAACACAGCAACAAAAACCCTGAGGGGATGCTTTTTTCCCCCATCCCAGCTGGTGAAAGAAATATTCAATTGTTGATTGGCAGAGAAGAAATAACACCTCCTCTGGGAGCAACCCCAACATACAGTCCACAGAACGCCCAACGTCCCTGTACCTATGACTCTTTGATATGCAAAACCACTCTTTTTTGTTTCCCACGCACTCTGACAGATTGTAACACGACTAAAGACGACCCAGAAATCTGAAATAAATAACCCTGCTGAGAGAAACTACAAACAAACCTGATGCTGCAACTAAATGTCCCTGTGATTTTTTTCTCCCTTTCTGCTTAAATAATTCAATGCTGCCTGTGTAACATTAAGACCCATAACTTTGTATTAGAATGGGGCAACTTGACAATATTTGTCATTATCATGATAATCATTACAATGCCACTATGCTTTTCTGAGCACATCGTGGATATCGTCAGTACTTAAACATTTCCCAACAGCATGTTTAATTGCAAAGAGAGCATAATTAGTCCTTTTTAACTGGATTTTTTTTATTGGATTTAGCCCTTTTTAAACACACACAATCACAACCACTTCCCCAGTAAGGGTGGGGACACGCAGACTAGCAAAATGAAAAAAATAAATAAATAAAAATAGACATTTGCTAGCAAAGTCCATATAAGTTGACTGTGGGGTGATTTTTTTAAACTGCCTTTGTAAAATAGTCTGTAGAGAGACTGTGTTATCCTACCATGTACATCACCCCCTGATTTTAGTAATTAGCAAAGCTGCTGTAGCTCAGTTTCTCAGTGTGTTTGCTCAGTACTCTGCACAGCATGTTATTTTGAATGAAACAGCTTTAATGTAAATTGCCCGTAGAAAGAGCTGTCTGTGGGTGCTGCATTTTCACATAGCATGTACCGCACGTTTTCATACAGCGTGACCATTTGTCCGTACAGTGTGAGTCAGCAAAAAAAAAAAAAGATTTCTAAAAGGATATTTTAACACAGCTCAACCAGCGAATCAAAAGACGTAAAATTCCACAAGTGAGCTCCTTGAATGTAATTCCTGTGGTCACTGTGTTACAGAGAGTGTTGTTGAAAGAGTGTGACAAGGGGATGGCCCGCCACTCCCAAGTAGGGTAGGGATGGGCCGCTTCTCCTCCGTAGCGTAGGATGTACAATTTACTAACAAAATTATTCTCAAAGAACTCAACAAGTAAAAACAACTGAAAACGAAACGAGAAGAGATATACAAACACACCACTAAGAAACAGAAAATACATGTGGCTTACTGTCAGCCTTTAACTAGCTAACTATCTTACTTCAACTAGTCCAAACAAACAAAAAAGTAGAAGTGTTAACCTCTTTGCTTACAAAGAGAAGTATTTATCAAAGACAAACTAAAGTTAGACCAATCGGCAGATCTCACTGCCCACATCCATCAGGTCTTAGATGCACAAGTTGTATGGTGCTTACCATTGACTGTGAGCTTAGCTTCTGTAGAGTAGTTGGACCCAAAGTGGTTGGAAATCACACACTGGTAGTGTCCTTCATCTGTGAAGTTGACATTGAGAAGATGGAGCATGCTGGTGTAGAGGAGCTGATGCTCCTGGTAGCGGGCATAGTTGTGCACCAGCGCTTCATACAGCACCTCCCTGTCCTTCCTCCAAGAGGCACTCATGGTAGAATCACTGCTGCTGAAGGCAGAACAGTTGAGAGTGACGTTGGTCCCTCTCAAAGCTACCACTGTCCTGGGGTTTCCACTGATCTGGGGCTTAGGGAAGTCATCTGAAAGAGAGAGAGACAAAGCAGAGGGAGTTAGACATGGGCAGCGAAATTTGATTTAATCCTTTTACTGTTTTTTCTACAAGACTAATCAAATATATTTTTAAGAAGTACTGCAGATTGGCCGGTGCTCTTAAGTCTGAGTTGGGATTACCACAATTTCCATTTTCCTTTTAACAGATCTGGTATCAGGGATAAATGTCAGTGGGGAACCCCTACTGTAAGCCTTTCAGGATATGACTAGGCTAATTTGAGTGTATGTGTCAGTCAAAAATACTTTCACAGTATACTGACGCAACTGCTAACCATAATCAAGGAATAAACTTTTAAGCAATGTCTTTACTTGACTGTGAATGTTACCCAAGACATTTGAGACACAACAGACATATGACCAGTGGTCACTTACTACAGACAAATTCTTCTGGCCTGACAGTGAAGATACTCCTGCCTGCTAGACGAGCAGGGTGTGCACACACAGCCGAGCATGACTGCTGGAAGTGGCTGTCAGTCAGCCATTGACCCAGCCAGGTCAGCTGGCAGTCACAGAGAAGACTGCTCGTGTTCAGTTCACTGTGAGAAGAAAGCACAATACACATGTTTTAAGGGATACAACAGTGAGATCTCTGTAAAGCTGTTTTGGGAAAACGTTTGTTAAAAAAGTAATATACAAATACATTTGAATTAGGGACGCAAATTGTGGCAGTTACACAAGCCTGAGATAATGAATGTGACCAATGAAAACATCAATTATAAAACAGAACTTTTCAGATTGTCTTCTAAAATCTGACTGGCTGAGCTACTTTCAAAGCCATTGTAAAATATAAGATATATGTACACATCAACTGAATTCTGTATTACTGTGCTGAGATATTCCTTGTACGAACTGTGGAACATAGTACTGATAGGTGGAACCAGGCATAAGTTTCGTATATGCTGTAAACCACATTACTATCCTAGCTAAGAACCTGAGCTGTTTAAACTGAGCGGCTGACAGCTATATCTTCACGATTACATGCCCAAAAACTAAACTGCAAATGACATGACTGGAATATATAATGAAGGGCTACTGAAAGCTCTATATTTTGAAGTTCTAAAGTTATATTTAACACTCATTACTATCCCAAGTTAAAGCGAACATGACTGCCATGACTGGAGATAGCCATGGCTCAATGTACCTTAGTAGCTCAAGAGCGTTCTCCATCCGCCATGTTGTTCTCTACAACGCTGCACATCCACGTATGATTTCCTCACACTTTCTCCCAGGGAACACGGACTAAATAGCTGTCTGTCCTATCGCTTGCAGATGACCGCTTTCAATATAGTACATCATTGTAAGTGTGCTGACATTCTCTCGAAAGGTTTTCCTGAACAATACTAGCTTTAGCTACACACATCAATTTTTAGAAGGCCTGTCTTGTGAAACAAATCGCACCCTAATCACGTCTTCAACTTAAATGATAAACCCACTTAATGAAAAAGGAGCTGTTCTTGATTGGAAAAATGCTTTGTTTGGTTTTAAATGATTGCATTGGTTGAATAACTATTTATTTGTCAGTTAACGGTTATCATTTGCATCCCTAATATGAAATGAACACTTCAATTTATATCATTTGAGATTTAAACTGCCAGCAGGTTATGCTATAATCAGTGAATGTACCGCTTAGACTGCATGCTCTTGAACTTCACAAGGTGGTACATCCATATAAACAATATAGTATAGTGCAGCAATATTGTACATAAGAAAAAGAACAAAATTAAGAATATTTACAAACTTACAGTGATTTGAGTTTCAGATGAGCGAAGGCATCAGGGTGAACAGACATGATCCGGTTCTTACTTAAGTCTCTGTGCAGACATTTAAAAATGCATTAACATCACTGCATTATATATATTATATATATATATATATATATATATATATAAATAAAGACACAACAACTATCTCAAGATAGAGAATGTTTAAAAGATTTATGAACTTATGAGGAACATAAAGGTAAACTTACAGATGCTCTAGTTCTCCCAGACCCTCAAATGCTCTTTTAGTGATGGTCCTGATCTTATTCTTTTGTAAGACCCTAAATAACACACACATACAAAATATATCGTATTAAGCAGCAACACCAAGATGAGACGTATTTCAATAACCCATGCTAAACCACATAACACACACATCAGGGACGAAAGAAGACGAATAACAAATTTGCCTGTCAGTTTTATTGTCAAAGATATTCCACCACTATCTGCTGTTTCTGGAGAGGGGTTTAAAGACACAGTTCACTTTTTTGAGCCAAACTATACAATCCCATCTAATGACAGCCTTTCTAATACAATCACCCAGCAGTAAAATGCTTTAAAATCAAGTATTTTCACGGAGATGAAAGGTCGTAGCATCGCATTCCCTACCGATCTATGGACATCTTGCACTATGGAGCTATACATCAATCACCACTCACTACCTTAAGCCCATTTCACACCAGATGCGGTACCCGCGCCGCATCTAAAGAAATTTAATGTTCATGCTATGATATACAATCTAGGCTAATAAACAAATCTAGTTTTAACTCTTTGACAGGTTGACTGAAATGCCTTGAGGAAGTTAATGTTGTGAACATACAAGCATCTCCTCCTCTTCATATAGAGCTACATCACCTGCTGAGAAATCCAGGAACAGTCGCGGCAGCTAGCAAGATTTTATTGTTGATCTCTTTATGTCATCTACATAAAGTTTATACGAGTAATACACAGACAATACAGACGTTTATATCACGTGACAACACAACACAAACAGCAACAGCTCTTGCTTCTCACCTAAAAATAGCTAATAATTAACTAGTCAACTAGTAAAAATTACTAGTCATGAGACCCCTAATATATTTATATATATATATAAATATATATATATATATATATATATTACGAGAGATAGATTTAGATTTTAGATTTAAACTACATATGTATTTCTAATGAATATACTGTCTACATGTGTCTCACTGTCATGTCCTTTGTTAAATGTGTTGCCTCCAGTTTAATGTGCTTATGTTCTATGGTTGCTGTTACATGAAGGTGCTCTAAGTAGAAACGATGATGAATAAAATTTAAAAAGTTACAAGGTAATACTTACAATGTGTTGAGCTTTTTCATGCCCATAAACATACAGAATGCATCCTCAATAGCAAGTGATACATCATTGTTACGGATATCTCTGAGAAGAGGGGAAAAAGAAGAGAAGGAAAAAAAAAGAAAAATCAAATGTCAAAAGCAGCAAAATATTAGAACAAAACTTGCAAACTGTTGCTAAGCAACCACATATGACAAATTGCGATTCAGGAAGATCTCAATTGTGCTGCAGTTTCAGCTGAGAACCCAGCTCCCACTTCGCATCTAGAAAGAAGGGTTTGTGATGGCACGCAAGTATGTGAAAGTATTGTGAGGCTGTCTTCATGCACCAATGGCTCCAAAAGGCTGATATAGCCCTCACTAATTCTGCCAAATGAACATGGTGAAGGACAGGCAAAGAGAGCCATGTTTAAATGCACATTTTTCCACGACTAAAGAATGAATGTATAGCAGAGGAAGCCTTGACTATTCATTAAAATGGCATGATGATATTGCAGTGATTAGAAAACAAATAAATGAGATCCTTATCATCATCACCATCTATGTAGATGCACACGCTAACTAACTACTGGTAAGCAAATACACTGAACTATTCTAAATGGGGTTTCAAATGAGGAAAGGGAATAATCACAAAACCTAATCTACATACATACACACCTGCTTTGACTGCAGCCTTCATCAGAGAGCAGCGCACAATCAAACAAGTTTAAAGGCAAACAGTGAGCCCACACTGTGTTGCATCAACAAGATACCAAGAAGGGAACACATTTTTAAGCAGAACACAGAGGTTGTTGCATGTATTACTACACAGTCTAACGCATGTCTATGTGAGCATGTGCAAGAACATGTGAAAGTTTGCTCAACACTTCTGCCCATGATTTCGATCTGTGTGTTTGTGGTCTTACAGCATGCGGACGTTTGTCAGGCCAGTGAAAACTCCTTCTCCCAGATGTGTGATGCGATTCTCGCTCAGATTCAGACTCTGCAACAGCCCAAGCCCAGTGAAAGCCCAGTCGTCTAGACGACTCAGGTGATTATAGGACAGATCCCTGGTACACACAAAACACACACAACAGACAATACATGATGACTAAAAGTGAAAGTTACATTGACATCCTTGGGCAAAATACCTTCCTTTTGGTGATCATACTGTGACAAGTCATGTAACCAGCAGCGAACATGCAATAAGCAAATAACAAGCTTGACATATATGTATATGTTATACATATATAAGTGTGTATATTTTGGATCATTGGATGTAGTCTGCCAGTGCTTCAGGACATCTACAACAGGAGAGTGATGAAGCACAATGTCAAAATTACAGCTGACCCCTCTTATCCTGGACATCACCTCTTACAGACACTTCATTCAAGGCCATCAAAGCCAGCACAATCAGACATGTCAACAGCTTTTTCCCCCACAGGTGTGGCACTCATTAACCACAGTGGACACGTTGCACTGCAATTTTAAACTGAAACCAACAAACTACCCTTACTGCATTACAGGATAACTCTTCCCTGACATAATGCTTATCTACACAGCTTTACGTCATCCTGTAATACACTGTATATAATAGTTATATGTCTCTTCAGACCAGAATTTGTAGCATTTGCATATCTGCATATGTGCAGATATTCACACATCTCTTTAATCTGCTCTCACATTAGCTCTTCATTATTCTCCCTCATTCTCTACTCTATTTATTGTATTCTTATTCTATTTGTCCCTTAGTTAAGTTCATACGTATGTACACTCATCAAGACAAATTCCTTGTATGTGAAACAAACTTGGCAAAATAAACTGATACTGATTCAGACTGGCTAAAAGTTCTTAGACTTGATGTGAAGGTTTCTGTGCATTAAATCCAAAAACATCTACTGAAGCTGCTCTGCACTGAAGATTTGTCTATAAACTCACTTCACATTTCTCAGAAGTATTTTTTATGAATGTGACAGAGTATTAGTCTCCAGTGCAGAGATAAAGGAAACACAGCATTGTTAAAAAATTTTAGTAACACTTCTGTTATCTGTTTGAGTTTAATTTAACAGCTGGACGGAAACCTGGCTAGTGGCTACATCAAGCAAAGAGCCTCAGGGACTAGTGATGAACAGCAGTTGGAACTGTATGTTTTACTCACAGCTCTTCTAGACGGTGGCAAAACTCCCAGGCATCAGCTCGAATGAGGCCAATGTTGTTCTGACTGACCCGGAGCACACGGAGCATGTGCAGGCCATAGAGCCAACCTTTATTCAGTTCCGTCAGGTTATTGTGTTCCAGCTCCCTGTAGAGAAAAACAATATCCAGAATGCACAATACCAACACAGTCCTCTGTAATTCTCAACAACTACAACCATATATTTAAGCCACAATTTGATTATATAGAGAGCAGAGTTTAGGGCATGCAGATGATTTTAAACCCATTAATGCATATATTAAAGCACAATTTCTTTTAGGCCTCTCTCCAAAAACTTTCCCAGTAAAAAGGTTAACTTTGAAAAATTCTGTAATATAACTTTCAGCAGATGGTCAGCTGCATTGCTGTTATATTAATGTTGCAAACTGCCAGGGCTGATTCATTCATTTCTTGATAAACAAAATTTTAGCCAAATTCTCTAGCTGCCAACTGAAGATGAAATGGGTGCCAAAGAACAGAATAAGAACAAAGAATGTGCCTCAGGCTTTTCAGTATTCACTCACAATTCCTCCATATTGTAAAGGCCAAAAAGAGCTCCGTCCATCAGCTTAGTGATACTGTTCCTCTGCATCTTCAGAGACTTCAGAGCCTCCAGCTCTTTGAAGATCAAACTGTCCACCACTCTGATCTTATTACGTTTCAACTCCCTACAACAGACAAGACAAATTTCATCCAACATATTCATATCAACACACTGAAAAGGGCTGACGTACTACACATGGAGAAAAATTTATAAATATGTCATTAATCTCTAGTCATCTTGTTATTATCAAAGCAAATACTTCTGGCAAGTGGTCACAATTCTCATCTATATAACAGTGCTGTGCTGTAAAAGCTTGCTGAAGAGCTATTCCACTTACAGAACTTGCAGCTGAGAAAGGGTGAAGACTTTAGCAGGCAGCAGAGACAATCTGTTCCTGTTTATCTTTAGTACCAGCAAAGAGCTGATGTTGCCAAAGCAGCCTGGTTCAAGAGAGCTGATCTTATTGTTGCTCAGATTCCTGAAGTCATGGAAAAAAGAAAACATGAATGAGTTTGTCAAGGTATCGTTTTACTTAAAAGTAATGGATTAATGTACATCAGTTGTAATTAGGGCCCAACCCAAATGAAATTGCTGCGGCTGATACGATACCTATTCTTAGGAGTTTAAAATTCTTATAATCAATAATATAAGCCAATATAATCTTATATTTCTATTTTATATTTAAAATTTATACTTTGTGTTAAAACAGTGCCTTAATGGCCAACATGACTGTCAGTTCTCCATTATCACACTTCTTAAACTTAATTGAAACAACAGAAACTCAGTCTTTCAGACCACATCATACGTTGTTATGTATTAACATCACAAACACGGGCTCAAAGAGAAGGTCCAGTTCAATGTTTAAATGACTGAAGACATGGTGTTCACCAAGTTTGACTGAGTTCTCTTTGAATACTCTTAACAAGCTCGCAATCAACAGATTCATCTCCTTGGGGAAGGAGTCTGAAGCACAATGACATTACAATACCTTCCACATGTTGAGTGCAATTACGCATTTCAACCAGAGAGGATTTTAAACCTTACATAGTGCAGATATAAACATAAAGTGTTTCACTTCAAGCTGCCCAGTGGTATAGCTGTCAGAGGCTTTCCTTATTAGCAGGAGATCGAGTTTGAATCCTAAAGGTGCCATGAGCAACAAAAGGAGCTAGTTAACAGTGCTGTTATTAACTGTTACCGATATTACTACGGGTTGCTAAGATCAGTCAACATCATATCAGCCGGCACTTAATTGTAATCACATTACAGTCTCCTATCCTACACAGTAACACACTTAAATACTGCAACAATATCAAAATATGTGGCTGAAAAAAGAAAGACTTACAAATATTTGAGCTGCATAGGGGGGAAAGATCCTGCTTTCAACTCCAAAATCCAATTTGAGCTCAGATCCAGACTTTCAAGAGATGAATAAGGCAGAAGCTGCTCCGCCACGACTTCAGTGATCCGGTTATGAACACTAAACACACACAAAAAGAGAAAAGAAAAAAAAAAAAATCAGGTTTTATCTTGTTTATTTCACCCATTGCCACGGCCATTTAATCACAGACTCTATTTTAATTAAACAAACTATTGGCATTTACTTTAAGCTCAAATGTGAAAACTAAGTTAATTATATACTCATGAACAAGGTTCTTCCCTGCAGGTAATTCTAATTGTGTGTCATTAATAACAAAAATGACAATATTGTAGCAGTGTCATAAAAAAAATGGATAAAAGAACAACTTACAGAGACAACACAGTGATGTTTGATGAAGCATCTCCGAGAAAAGGCACACCTGATAGCTCATTATGATTCACAGAGCTAAAAGAAAAGGAATGAAATGTTTACACTGATGTAGCAACATGGCTTGAAGTAGAACCTGAAAAGAAAGTGGATTCAATTTATCCTCAACCTGTTTTCTGATTATCTTATAGAACATGCATCCCACAAACAAATCTAAGACTTGCCAACTTTGCTTTTAAAAAAGTGTTGGTTAAGATTCTGAGAGAAGCCTCACAGGTAGAAAGTAGCCAAAAAGTTGTTCTGAATTTCTGGTAAAACAGCAGACTGCTGGCATAGTTCTGGGTACTGAAGCATATACACTATTTGATCCCCTTTACTGCAGTAACAGCCTTTACGATTCTGCTTTACACTTGATGTTGGGACATTGCTGTGAGGATTTGATTGTATTCAGTCACAAGAGCATTAGTGAGGTCAGGTACTGATGCTGGATGATTAGCTCATCCCAAAGATGTGGCATGGAGCTCCATCTCTCCAGAGAACGCAGTTCCACTGCTCCACAGCACAAAGCTAGGAGCTTTATACTCCTCTAGCTCACGCTTTGGCCATTGGGCATGTTGACCTTAGGCTCATGTACAGCTGCTACAGAGAAATGTTCTATTGTCAATGCTTTTCTGTGAAGATTATACAAGTGTGATTTTGAGTGCATCTGACCTCCTGTGTCAGCAGTGGGTGTAATTTAACGCATTTGAATTCATTAACAAGAAGGGGTGTCCACAAACCTTTGGACATATAGTGTATCTTAAGATTCAAAAGTTTGGAATCACTTGTTATAGTAATAATTGCTGTTCATTTATTCAATTTTATTGATATAAATATATTTTTAAATATAGATTTAAAACCTAGAAGACAGACACCATTCAAATGTTTTAGTGCCTCAACGTTTCTGGTAACACTGAAAAGTTACTCACTTTACACTTACAAATGATAGATTTTCATTCATTCATTCACTCATTCTTGGTATGCAGTCGTTCTCAGATTTGATCACTACTTTTCAAATACTAACCTAAGTATTCTGGATGTAAATTTTAGTGTTAACTTCATTCTTAATGTTTTGCAGCTTTCTCGGTCACTATAGAATCATCTATAGCTCAGTTCGTCACACAGGACACGTCAAATTTCTTTTTTTTTATAGGTTTCTAAAAATTAGTTAAAATCTGCTAGCTTAAGTTGTAGTGTACATAAACTCATTTCATACATTCATCTGCAACGTTTTATTTAATTGAAAACAGTGATCCCAAACTTTTAAATTGTGAATTAAAGTTTAAATACTAATTAATTCCTAACAGTGGACAATATTAAAAGAAAATAAGGTTAAAGCGCAGTGCAGACTAAAGTTAGGTAACGTTACAGTTTTGCCAACAGTGTTGTGCTTTTCAGCTCTAGAGGAGGCTGGCCTTCCAACGCCTGTCAACAAATTCAGGCTAGCTCGACCTGCTACTTACACATGAGTGATCCAAGCTGGAATGGAGAGAGAGGGAGAGGGCAGTCTTTTCCGACTGCAGTCAAGGAGCTGAGATGCATCTGGACCTTCAGAACACGTACAGGGAGAAGGGCAAGTGTCCAGGCCGTCGGCGCTCCGCAGCAGCAGGAGAAGCAGCAGGCGCAGGGCCTGGGGGATGGGCCAGCCTGCCGCCATTTTGAGTCTCTCCGGCACCGACAGCTGGCGAATTTATGGCATTAACCGGAGAAACTGAGAAAACTAAGTTTTATAATGTGTCTAAACTGGCGTGTGGGTTCAAGTCAAAGCGAGCACCGTGACGAATCTGCTCGAAAACAAAGGCAGAGCAGGTCTGCTCCATCACTGGGCTTTCCGTCCTTCCCTTCTTCCGCCTTTCCAATCTCTGCAGCTCCAAGAACTGTTCCAGAAAAAAAACGTCAAAAGAGCTCGAAAACGCTCCAGTTCCCCTCCATTAACATCGTGTAGTCCATTGCCTAGAATTTTTAAAGGCCGTATCCGAGGACTCTGTAACTCGCTGTGGTAACGGCCCTTGTTTTGAAATGTTGTTCCACGACTTTTCTCCCAAGGAAAACAAAAGCGCCTTCCCTCGACATGCGATCCTCCGGCGTGCTCCCGCCCCTCTCACCGAGGCTCCCCATTGGACGAAAGGCACGTCAGTCTAGGCGAATTCTTTTCCCATTGGCCGATTACAATATTGAAACGTCAACAGTCGTTTCAGGCTGCAATACTGTAAAATCTTTTGAAAATATATTCTTTCGAATTAAAAAGCAGCTAATAATAAAAACATCTAGGTAACTTTAAAATGAGACATGGATTATAATTGAATAACCATAATCTACATCGGCATCAATAGATCCATTCCTTTCTGGAATGCCTTCTGAAAATACTGTGAAAATAATGGAAAGCACACAAAACACTGGTGTATTCGAAAGGCTGAAAACACTTTCTATTCATGATATATTTAATATGCATTAAAAGAAAACAACTGACATTTTTGCCTTGCAGGTTTTAAACAAGTTATATGAGAAGTTTGAATCAGATTTTCATTCTAACCATAGTACTGAGACAGCACTGGTTCTTGTTGTGAAAGACCTCAGGCTTTGCGCTGATGCAAAAATCCTTCTAGTCTTGCTGGATCTTAGTGCAGCTTTTGATAGCGTTGACCACAAGATTCTAATCCACCATCATAAATACTGGGTAGGGCTCTCAGGCATAGTTTTAGAAAAGATTAAATCATATTTAATGAATAGACAGCTCTTGGTTTTGCTGAGAAATCATTCATTAAAAAATTAACATCTCTTGTGGAGTCCCACAAGGTTCAGTTTTAGGGCCTTTGCTTTTCTCTTTGTAGATGTTAGCTCTAGGTGATATCATTAAGAAACATGCTATCAATTTTCATAGCTACACTGATGATACACAATTATACATCTCCATTCCTTCTGAACATCAAGACTGTTGATAGGCTTACCAGGTGTGTGTCAGGTATTTCTCAGTGAATGTCACAAAAATTTTTACAGCTAAATTACAAAAAAACTGAAATCCTGATCATTGGGCTAAAATTCAGAGAAAGCTGCCTTATGAGAAACTTGGTTCTTTAGCTTCATATACCAAACCTGAAGTACAAAACCTGAGTGTAATCTTAGATTCCGAGTTCTGTTTTATCCCATATATAAACCCAGTCTTAAAGTATTATTTTATCATTTGAGAAATATTGCTAAAGTTCGCCCTTTTGTATCTCAGAGTGATGCAGAGAAACTTGCTCATGCATTTGTTACAAGCAAAGCTGATCCTAACAAAAAACAAAAAAGAGAGTTCATAACACTCCCATCTTGAAAGAACTGCACTGGCTACCTGTATTGTTCAACATAGCTTTTAAAATTCTGCTAGTTTTTAAAGCTCTAAATGACATTAAAGCTCTGCTTACATCACAGAATGTCTGTCTGTTTCTGTTCCAACATGTGATCTTAGATCTGCAGATACTGACCTTCTGCAAATACGTTCTGTAAATACAGAAAACATGGAGAGACTCTTTCAGTTATTCTGCTTCTAAACTGTGGAGCTCAAGTCCACCTTTTATTAGATAGTAAAGCTCAGTGAACACCTTTAAAATTTTTTTAACATGTATCTTTTGACTTTGCATTTAATTAAATGTCTACGTTTCTTTGGTGTTTCTTTTTACTTTGATCAGTGTCATTGTCTTACATGAGTTTGAATTAATAACTCATATTTTCTTCTATTCCTGTTATGCTTTATCACTCTGAGCTGCAACTGGTATGAAAAGTGCTCTATAAATAAAGATATTATTCATTGTTTTTAAATGTGCACACATCCTAAAGTACCACTAAAGTACCAAGGTCTAAAGCCAAAGTAGCATAAGAACAAAAAAGTCATAAAATAGCTTAATAAGTCTTCAAAGGTGGAACATAATTCTGCTCATGTATAACAAACAAGTTTCAGTTAGGCTATTTATGTAATGCAAAACGCCACCACAAACACAACAGAGACAGTTTTAACATTCGTTATTGACTCCAACCAAGGGAGTCAGTGAGCTGACAGATCTGTAAACATTCAAATAGCACAAACAACCTTGTAAACTTACCTAATATTTTGAAAAATTCACAAATTTGATTACTCAAAGCATGTTTTACAACACAAACCAGTGAATATCTTCTTCTCTTGTCCGAATACAGTAATTAGCACTATTTTCATATGACAGGCACTATGCTTGCTTGATGGTAAATCTCAGAAAAACAGTTATTAATTAACTGAGCTTCTCATTTTTGTTATCACACATTGTCTAGTATCTCTTATGACACTAAGTATGTAGTAGTTATTTGTTAAAGGTGCATTAATTATGCTATCCAAAAATCTGAAAAATAGGCTTATGAAACAGTGTTTTGAAAGTCTTTCTCTTCTGGCCTCTCATTGGCTGTCTTTTGTATAAATCACAGTCCATGATCAAAACTAGGCATCTGGGTGTATCCTATCAGAGTAGATTTGGGGGGAGGGGCTTATGCTTTGCATGCAGCCACACTCAAATAAATGTGCTTTTTCCTCTCAAGTCTTGTATAAAATATAAAGGAGTCATATTTCCTTAGAGGGCTGATGTGGCGTACGTTGATACTGTTTGAGAATCCATAATAATTAGAGCTCTGCATAATTAAAACATTTTAACAAACACAGTCCTGTGCAAAAGTCAGAGACCACGGTTCATTTATTTATTATAGAGTAGATTAGAATAGATTCAACTTTATTGTCGTTGTGCCGAGTACAGGTACAGAGCCAATGAAATGCAGTTAGCATCTAACCAGAAGTGCAAAATACAGTATTATTTACATATGAAGTGTGGAAGGACAGTAGAGTGGTAAAACATACAGCTATGCAAGTATAACTATAATATACACATATACAGAGTGAGTGGAGAGCGTACAAATGTAGGTAGTGTGTACCGTGAGAGCAGCATATGTAAAAGATAAGTAGGCAGAGTAAACTTGTACAGTAACTGTCTGTGCAAATATGAATAATAGTGCAGTAATAGACTACAAATATGAATAGTGCACTAATACCAGGACATAAAGTACAGTAACAGTGCAGAGAGTGCAAAGATGTGGTTACAGTGATGGTGTGGAGTTCAGCAGGGTCACAGCCTCAGGGAAGAAGCTCTTCCTGAGCCTGCTGGTACGGGAGAGGAGGCTTCCGTAATGCCTGCCAGATGGGAGGGGGGTAAAAAGTCCATGGTTTGGATAAGAAACATCCTTGATGATGTTCCTCGCCCTACCCAGGCAGTGCTTATGGTAAATGGTCTTAATGGAGGGTAACTGGGTACCTGTGATGCAATTCTGTATATGTTGGTCATTTTCAGGAGATAAGGTGATATGAGATAAGGTGTAAGACAGTCCAGGTGCATGACCGCATAGTAAAAGGAAAATAAAAGAAAATAAACGAGTTTCCAAAACTGAAGTTTAAAAAAACATTGTGAAAAGAAAATGGGACTCCCAACAACCACACAGGACCTTGTAGACCATTAAAACAGTCCCCATCAGATAAACAACACTAAAAGCTTTTATCTTTGAGAGACGAGAAAACCGAGCTCCACTCTTACTTAAGATCTGAAAATATCCACAGGTGTTTCTGTCCATCCTTCCACTGTGAGAAGATAACTTATTGCTATGGGTCTGAAAGGATGTGTAGCTGTCTTTTTTTCTACAGACAATAAAAAAGAAAAAAGACAAAAATAGAATCAAATAAAGCAAATCAAACAAACAAGCTGTTGTTGTGAATGTGTTTGGGATTACTTGGACTGTGAGAAGCAGAAAATGCAACCAGCTTCTAAGACTGAACTTCGTAGGTGTGGAAATACATCCCTGTAGGTTTCTTTGAAAAACTGAAAGTAACTCTACTGAAAAGCATGGCAGCAGTAACAGAGGCAAAGGGTGGGTGGACTAAAGACAAAAAAAAAGCTGACCTTACATTTATTTGTGAGGCTTCTGTGTAATTTTCTGTTGAATACGTTTCCTGGATTTTTCTTGATGCTGAACACTGACTACTCAAAAGATTACTAGGCTTCTTTTCTCAGGAGAAACATCTGAGCAGCAGGAGCCTAAGCAAAAGTCTCCTGTGTCTTTCCACCTGATCTTATTGTAGACTACAGAGATACTGAGATCTCTTTTTTGATTTTCTTTCTTATGGGAATGGCTGTTCGTATAGGTGTGACTGGAAGTCTAATAAATGTAAAATATCAAAAATCTAATTGAATCTTTACTTCAGAATTGCAAATTGTGTCAAATCTGTGTAGCATTACATCCCTACTATTTTTTCATTTAATCTGACTTTGTTTCTCTATTCACAACGTTCCACACTCTCACTAATAAAGGAACTGAACTCTCACTGGGGCAGTACCCCTCTTGTCACTGGGGTGGTACTCTAAAGGGTACATCTCAGTACCTTTAGTCAGGGAACACAATTGTACCATAATCCATTGAAATTATATTTTCTAAGTTGTATTGACTCCACACACCCCGTCCTCTCTCCAGGCTTTTAATTTTATTGTTCTGTTTTAAAACAGAAAGGGTACAATTATGGACAAGTACAAGTATTTGGACAATACCTCACATCCCCTGCATGCTACACTGGAAAAACAGAGAAGCATGTTCAGTGGCCGACTGTTACAGCTGCGCTGTGTTAAAGATCTTTCTTATCCACTGCTATAAGGCTCTACGAGTGTCCTTACTGCAGAGATGGTACTGACTTCCTGCTGCCTGAACTGTGCTGAGTCACATCACCATATCACCTCTCTTGTTAATACACACTGTGCAATATATCATAACCTGCTACCGTACTGATGCTCTCACTGAGCACTTTAGATTGTAAACACTGCTGCTACTCTTAGTTGTGTTTATACTCGTTGTGTTGTAAACTCAAACCTCATACCACTCATGTAAAAACAACAATCTGCCTTATATGCCATGTAAATATGCAAATAGATACACTTCTGTTTCTTCTCTCTCATATTTTACTCTAAATTATGTCTAATTTTTATTTCTGCCTGATTTATGTCTATTTTTATTTCTATTTTTATTTCTGCCTAATATATCGCTGCTGTTGGAACAAAACCTCGTATCTCCACAATGGTAACTTTACAAGAGAAGGAAAAAACATTCTTTACTTTTAATGCAAGTCAGTTGAACCAGACTTTTATTTTTGTAATTTTTGGCCGTTTTTTGGCTGTTTCTTTTGGTCAAATCATCATGAAATTTATACACAATACAAAATGAAGCAGG